CCAAGGCCGAAGCATCCTCTACTTGACTATTTCATGCGGAATTGGCATTCATGTAAGAAGATGTGGACTGTGTACAAACGAGGCCACGTTGCGCATCTTGGCAACCATACTAACAACCGGTATGTACGTTTACATTGTTTTTATCGACAAAACCTAATATTCTAGTCTTGAATCTGCGTGGGGATCACTAAAGGAAATTCTAAAACCCGAAATGGAGCTTGACGAGTTCGTTGAAACGCTGATTTTCTTGCAGTCGACGGCGGAGCTGGAGTATGCGTCTCGGTTTAATGTGATTGGGTCTCGTCACTACCATGGAGCGGATGAAATGTTACTTCGCTTAGCAGGCTTGGTAAGTCCACACGCGTTCAAGCTCGTCCGTCAAGAGTATGACCTTTTCAAGAGCGGGGTTTTGTCCTACGAGGGTGGTTGGCTACAAGACAACATCGTCAGGATGGAAAGCCACATGACAGGACGCGAGTACACGGTTAATGTTTCGGTAAGTTGAGGTTAAAACGGTTTGGTTATTGTCGGTCCAATTATTTACACCGTGTTGTTTATGCACAGACGTTTACATGCTCTTGATTCTTTATGCGTACTCTACTGCTTCCCTGTCATCATACGATACATGTACGTGCTTCAATGCAAAAGAAGAAAGTAATCCCTTTGAAGTACGTCCATTCACGATGGTTACTACAAGCAGAAGCCAATCGTCCAGAGGAGGACGAGTCTGGTGAAGAAGTTTCCTGCTGTTTACTACGTGTCCAGAGGTCACACATGCGATCCGTCGAGCACACTGTGTTAAATGGAACGACAAAGTGGAAATCTGCCATGGACATTGCCGGTACCATCGTGGAGACAATGAGTTCTCAAGGCACACGAGCATTCCTTCGGATGGCTGAAGTGTTTCGCGAGTTTGGAGAGTGCGTACGTGAAGGAGTGGTGCCGACTCTGACGAAGCCTCAAGCTTCCGTCGAGCCTCAAGCCTCTGTCGAGGGTCTACTTAGAGCACACTGTGAAGATTCTTATACGCGGCACGACATCGAAGTTGCGGATAGCGACCGTTCATCTGTACCAGCAACACACGAGGCGACCGATACTGCGCAAAACAATACCGCCGGGGGTGATTTCAATGATGAAAGTAGGCAGCTACTAGATAAAAGCGACGGACTACTAGCTGAAACGAACCGAATACTTACCCGAGCGCAAGATATGGTTTCTTCTGATAGCGACAACGATGATACGGAATTGGTCGAGCTTCTTCAATCCGGGAACAAGCCTAAACCTGCGGTCTAGAAGCCAAGCAACACAATCGACAAGGCTGCTGCGTTTGAGTTGTCACAGTCCGTGAAAGACACCAACCAGTCGGCGGAAGACACCAACCAGTCGGTGAAAGTATTGCTGACGAGTCTACTGAAGCCACTTGTCAGCTGATACTTCGAAAACGACGGTCGAAGGAAAGGGGTGACAGTAGCCGCAGGAAAGGGGTGACAGTAGCCCTGGTGACAGCTCCAGCCATGAAGATATCACAGGACAGTTTCGAGTTAGCACTGGTGTGAAAAGCAAAGGACGGCCAAAAAATTGGACGTTAGCTCCAGAGAAGGATCTAGCACTTGTGCGTAAGACATTGGCATGCAGTTTCAACGTTGAAGATGTTGTGCCTGTCCTTCACAGTATCACCAAAGTTGATGCACCAACTTGGAAGGCCACCTCCATCGTGCAGCTTGCTCGAAAGCAGAAGGTCCACAAGAAGGTCACCATTGTTTTTCCAAAGAACTACGCTAGCAAGAGCATCGCAGGTATCAACATCTATCGGAAGTCCCTTCCAAATATCCACGAAGCTGGCAGAATGGGGGTATCTATCAAGAAACTTGGCACATTCACAGAGAAAGATTTGATCATGATGAGAGATTGGCATGACGAATCCCCGAAGTTCGATGCTTTTAGTGGTCTAGCAGCGTGGATCAGAGTTTCTCGCTTTGCCCGAATTACACTTCCCAGCCCTCTCAACAACTGCGTCACGGCAGATTTACAAGCCTGCGCAAAAAAAAGTGACCGTGAATTTAAAGACTATTATGGACTCAAGATTCGGACAGGTCGGTATCGAAGAGATGGCATTCTTCAGACGATCGGAGTGGCTGGACGATTCGTGCATGAAACTTGTCATGAGCCGCCTTATGGATCAAGATCAAGACGAGCAAGAGAGGAGCTGTATTGGTGGTGTCAACCCGCTCTACGCAAGAGTTCATGATGAAACAATGAAGTTGCAAGCGATTGCAAGCTCACCTCTCCGGTCGAGCAACCGAATGATTCTGGTGCCGGTTTATCTCGATGGACACTGGGCAGGTGTTGCATTCGACAACGACAAAAGTAGAGCTGTGGTGTTCGACCCTATGCAGACGAACAAATACTACAACCAGACCTGCACAGTCATCGAAGAATACTTTGGAAACTACTCTGCGAAGCTCAAAATATTCCGCCAGCGGGCTCCGCGACAAGAGGATACCAATAGTTGCGGGCCGCTGGTGTTGTTGTTTTTTGAGTGCATGGTGCGAGGAATGGCAGTCCCAAATGTGACCAGAGAGCAAATAGCATACTTGCGATTTAGATATCTATTTTTACTAGCAAGGGGGTATTTTGCCGAAGCCCAGACGCAGCCACGAGCGAAGAGTAGCTACGTCAATACATATCGTTTTGTGCTCATGCATTATCCACGCTGCGTTAGCTACTCAACCTCAGGTGTCCATCGGACATTCGCTTTGGTGACAAGATTGATGACTAGCTCCATTTCATCAAGTGTTTCTCACATACGCACAACATTCCAGCGACATGCATATATTCACTATAATTGATATCAGTTTTAGAGATTTTTAATCGTACCTACGCAAGATAGGTCGTACTTATGCGGATACATTACGTACTTAAGAGGATAAATTACGGGTAACCAACCAAACACCAACCAGAACCCAATTACAGTAAGCGCTGTCCAATCCGGTACCATGGTCCGACCCAATCCAATGATTTGAAATTTTATTATGGAGTTGCTGCCTCTAAATGCTCAACTGAGAAGCGCGAATGACGATGTCCTCAACATCTAAGCTGCTATCGTAGCTGGAAGCGCTGGTGTTCTTGCTGCTTCCGTCGACTCCATTAAAGGCAATCCCAGTATGGCGGAATCCAATGATTTGAAATTTTATTATGGAGTTGCTGCCTCTAAATGCTCAACTGAGAAGCGCGAATGACGATGTCCTCAACATCTAAGTCGCTATCGTAGCTGGAAGCGCTGGTGTTCTTGCTGCTTCCGTCGACTCCATTAAAGGCAATCCCAGTACGGCGAAAGCAGTTCTTAATAGTCTCTTTTTCCTGTAGCTCGTGCCAAATGGCTTTGCTCCACTGCATTGCCTGAAGCTGATCAATCTTGTACGCCTTCTTGTCAATGTTATCTCCTCGCTTTATCTTGTCGTACACCCACATAAGTTGTTTCCCTCTGTACGCAGACTTAAACGCCGCAATGATTCCAGCGTCCATAGGCTGTAGGAAAGCAGTGGTATTAGGTGGCAGAACTTCAACACGAACATTGGTACAAAGTAGGTTGTTCGTGTTGTGAGATGAGGCGTTGCCCAGCAGCAGCAGGACAAAACGCCCACTAGCTCTCATATCTCTATCAAGATTCCGTAGCCATTCTCGAAACACTTGACCCGTCATCCACGCCTTCTGGTTCGCCCGGTAACAGAACCCCAGCTCTTCTGCAGACCGCTTTTTGAAGCAATATGGTTGCTTTGTCCGACCTAAAAATAGTGCAGGTAACAAATCAGTGCCATCGGCGTTTGCTGTTAAAGCGAGAGTGATACGCGTCTTGTCTTTCTTCATACCACGGGCCGCTTTGGTACAGATTGAATGTGCTGGTGCCATCGCGTAGCACAACCCAGTCTCGTCCATGTTGTAAATATCTCGTGGGCTGTAGAGATCGGTTATTGATTGCAGTCGTTGACGACCAGCGGCGACAGCAGCAGGATCGGCCGATCAGGACGCTGGCGGCTGCGTAGTCCATGCCGCTGCTCGAACGAGGTCAGCCAGCCGTCGGAGAATGCGAGATCCCACGCGTCGCACAGCTCTTTCTGAATACCCCGCGCTCTCAGCTTAATCAGCTCACGAGAGAGACAGATGCCCTGGGCTTCGACTGTCTGAATCCACTCCCATAATTGCTTCTCGAGAGTGGGTGATGTCACGCGCACGGGCTTGCACCTTTTGCTGTCGCTGCCGTCGTCATGCTTGAGCACGTGTGCCTTCTTTAGGATGTCGGAAACCGTCGTCTGGGCTGGTGCTCTCTTTAACTTAAAGGCGAGTTTTGCCCAAGCCGCCAGCTCTTCCTGTGTCATATGCGGACACTCACTGGCCTTCTTAATCAAGGCTTTCTTCTGCTTTATCTTTAGCCACCTGCCCATGGCAGGTCGATGGGAAATGTATGAGAGCTATACTGAGTGAGTTTTGCTGCCCAAGGCTACGACGATGACTGGTGCGCTGTAATTCGTGCCAAAGGGCTCCGGTGACTGGTGTGGAATGACTCTCGCCAAGCATTTACATCATCTCTCTCTAAAACGATATATGTTATAGCATTTGAGTCAGGATATACGTTTTCAGTAGTACCGGATTCGCCAGCATTTACTGTAGTTGGGGATTTGCTGGTGTAAGTCGGTTGGTGAAAAATGCCTGGCTATGCAAAACAGTCGGTGATCGTAACAAGAGCCATAGATAAAACTGTAAATGTCCGAAAGATTTTGTCGCGCAGTGTATGTCGATGGTTTTCAATGTTTTTCTATTGAGGTAGGTTTTTTATTTTATCAATCAATGAACACGGGTACTTATGTACTTTCTAAAAGTAACTTTCATCACTTTTTCATTTCATGAGACTGTCATTTCTGTCGCTCAAGTTCCCACCCTTCTTTACACTCGCTGATTGGCCAAAAGTTTATGTAGCAAGCGTCACTTTATCACTCGACAATTTGCTCGACAAACTCTTAACTGAATTCTTTACAACATGGGCAAAATGGCAAAGGCTCTTGGCCTCGGCGTGAAAGGCAACCTCACGGTAGCCCTAGATCGCTCACATTACCTCGCAGGCGACCTCTTGCGCGGAAGCGTAGTGCTCAGCGTTACGGAGCCGCTCGACTTCACGTCACTTCTGGTGCGCATCCACGGCAAGGAGCTTCTCACGTGGACCGAAGGCGGCGGCCAGGCTGCGGCTGTGTATCTCCGAGAGTATCTACATTTAGACGAAGAGGTACGATGGTCATTGCTCAAAGTTGGAAAATAGTATTTATGGTCTCTAACATTATGGGCAATCTACTTCAGATCGTCTTGAGTGCCGAACAACAGTCGTGTCAACCGGGAGAGTACGTGTACCCCATTTGCTTCCAGCTAGCCGAGACGCTCCCCAACTCGTTCCATATTTCGGGCCGTGATGCCGGTGTCATGTGCCGCATCGACGCGTCGCTAAGCTACTCGGCCACAGCCGTCATGACAGTCAAGGGCAAGTTATCAGCTGACATGGATGCGAAGAAGACTTTCGTAGTGCAGCAACCGCCGATTGGCCAACCCGTACGCTCGCTTGAAAATTCGGCGTCGGGTGAGATCCACATGCTGCGCCTTATGAAGAAAGGAACCTGCTCTATTTCGGCGCAGCTACCAAGCAACGTTCACGTCACGGGAGACGTATTGCTGGCCCAGACCAGAGTCCAAAACGATACCTCGAAGGACATGAACAAGCTGTCCATGATGCTCTATGAAGACGTCATAGTGGACTTGGGCACTTCACACCAAAAATCTGAAGGATCCACTTGTGTCAGTCGCAGAGACTTTCCGGGCGTACAGGCAGGAAAGACGCTCGAACAGGTGCTGGATCTGCCGCTAGTCACCAAAGCGTCGACATCTCGGCCAGTTTCTGCCGCCATTGAGTCGCATTTCCTGACAACCAGGTATCGCCTCGTCATCAAGTGCCAGTTCCGCCTTTGTCGCAGCGTTTCAGTGGATTTCCCCGTGGCAATTCTTCGGAAGCTGGTAGTGGAAGCCGCGTACGCCCCGACCGCCGCTGTTCTACCGACAGTAGCTGCTACGGCTGCGTCGCCGTCGGTAGAAGTGATGCAAGCGGTGGCTGTTGCTCCAAGGAGGAAATCTGCTAATGACGGTCGGAGTTCGAGGAGTTCCGAGAACTCGATCCGGTCGCCGACAGCCACGCTGGACTAGGTAGCTGTTGTGTGTGGAAAGCATATCTATATTACTTAAGTACTGTGTTGTAGGCAGGGGCTAATGGTAACCAAATATCATATGATATTTTTGATAGTAATAGTACTATTTTCGATATTAAATATAGCAGTAACTCATTTTTGCAAAAGCTAACATAATATTTTAATATTAAGTCGGAGAACTGAAAATATTAGATACTACATAATATTTTATAATATTTTCCCACTTAAGTACGTTTCTTGCCACATTACAACCGAGCGGAGCCAAATAACTTTTCGATCAGGTTCTAGAACAGCAGTAGGCTTTAAGACTGACGAGTATTTGCTCTAGTATTTCACTGTGACACAGACAAGGCGACCGAGATGGAAAACTGCAAACGCTTGCAGCTGTTTAACGTTGATAGAGCGAAATCAAGACATTTGTTCTTGTTCTCTACCGATCTCCTCGTCCACATCGTCGTCTAATAAACCTACTGCCTGTGGCGCTAGATTGATGCGCTCAGCAGTGCCAACACACGACGCCAACCTTGCCGTCACTCTCACAATTGTCCCTCCCTCACGGTTGATTAGTAATACTTCAGCTAGCCGAGCGTTAACGACATCTGATTAGTATATTTAGACCGATTACGCAATCTTTGAAAAATATAATATCGTATTAACATATATTAAGCTGATATTTAATAATATCATATTGTCTCAGAAGAAAATATTAGGTGATATTTTTTATATTAACTGGTCTACAGGTGATATTTTCACAATATTAACTTCACCGATTTTGGAGTTACCATTAACGTAGGAGACGAAAAGGATTGGAGGTCGCTCAAGAACGCGTGTGTCGACGTACATAAGTTGAGCACTGCAGGCAGAAGCCGAACTGGCAGTACCGGTAGTGCAGCTCAAGCTCAGTAGACTTGTGTATTTTGGTTTGGTTATCGTGGCTGCATTGGTCGAATACATATGAGACCACCCAAAACAAAATGATACTTACGAACCTAACTACGAATCGCACTCTAAACGAAAGCGGGGCATCTCTTGAGCCCTTATATGCTACAGAATTCTTAAAACTGAGTTTAAAAAAAAAGTTGTGGCCGCTCAAAAATATTATCTTCATTTATGGGCCCTCGAAATGACGATACATTTAGAAGTGTTGTGAGCTCAATATTTTTTCAATTTTAGAGATTTAAGTGTTATTTAAAAGCTCTTGTTAAAAGCAAGTGTCCCATGTTATGGGACACTTTTTGAAGAGCCCCCCAAAATAGGTTTTAGGTTTGCTATTGACGCAACTGAAGCATATTTAGCAAATATAAAGCACATGCAGTTTGTCCACAACGTTTTTTTGGCTGTCCTTCTCGCACAGACAGCTAGATGTAGAGCTGAAAAAACTGCTTTTCATTCGAACACTATTTCGGGACACTGGAAGGATTTCCACTTCACTTGGTGTTTGTATGTATTTTTCATTTTATCTGACGATTTGTGAATTGGTTTTTTCGAATTAACCTAGTCCACATATGGAACAAAGAGCACCAATTTCATGTGTTTGTGGCTCTATCCAGCTATTTTCAAGTTTTGGTCGTTTCAAACAGAGTGTCCTTTGAGAAATCGCGTGACTGAAGCTACAGTTAAATACCCAATAAAAGACTTGGTTTTTGTAGCGGAAGAACATATGTTCTGTAATCAGTGACCAACCTGCCAGAGATTTAGTGTGAACAAACTCATTTTGATAATGTTGCTGCCAGAATGCAGACTTCGCGTGCCAGGTGCGAGCACAGCAAACCCCTCTGCCACTAATTTATCGTTTAGGTAGCTGCGCTCTATCAGTGCGATATTGCTATATATATGCTGGGCATTTTTATGATGCAGTATACATATTCCTATATTAACAAACTGTCCCGCAATTGTGTGTCCCGGAATTGTGGCAGCACGGATAATAGTAGCGTTAGAGCCTTGTCCAAATAGAAAAGTAATTACTTTTCAACACCGACTTTTTGCGCTTCCAAGACCTTCGAGAAAAAGTTGGTAGCCGTCGTGCCTACTTTTAAGTCGACAAATAAAAGTAGGACCATCACCAACTTTTTTTTTAGCTCCTAGCGACTTATGTTTTGGAGGGACAGCAAAACAGAAGTCAACATGGAGAGCGACGCAGCGAGGGTTCCCTGCGAGGGGGGGGCATGCAATGGACGTTGACAGCAGCGTGCTGGTCGTAGAAGATGTTGGTGGGGCAACTATCGGCGTTGACGTTGGTTCTCGGGGTGGAGAGGTCTCCAATTAGCGTCATCAGTTGCCCCCAGCACAAACTGCAACCATGGAATTACTGTAGTACTCTGGGGCTGATGCAGCGCTGAAGACGTTGAGATCTTCAGCACCGTCTTACTATTCATCATGCTTGGAGCCGTATTTGGTACGATTGACTGGAGATCTCTTCGAGCTCCTCCAGGAGAGAGGATCACGGTGCGCTCAGATTTTTACCCCAAGTTGAAGGCTCGGCGATCACCTACAGCATACCGCAAAACTTTGCGTTGCTCTCCAGAGTCGTTCGACCTTCTTTGAGAGTTTTTGAAGCCCCTGTACTACCAGAAGTATGGTTTCCAGAAAAATACGCAATGATGCTTTTGACTTTGGGCTTGCAAGTGACTATTCTGACACACTTCTGGAATGGATGCTGTCAAAATCGGGATGGCGGAATTGAGTGATCGGCACCCGTGACGGTCTCGCTAAAGCCCTACGGAACTTCTACAGCCAGCTAGATTGCTAGTCGGTATATTGCCAAACTGGAAGAACTTCTGTACGAAATGAAAGACGACGAGATATATTTTCCACCGTTAGATTCGAGCTCTGAATGGAGTGAGATGACTGATGGTTTTGCTGCACGTAATGCTGATTTTCCTGATGTAGCGTGTATTATTGACGGGACTCTCGTGCGCACTCGACGACCGAAAGACTTTCAAGTATTTTAAAACTTTGGGACTTCATTGTGCTTGTGATTTTAAATGGTTTTGATTGCTACAGGGATTCTACGACAAGGGTGGCAAGCCGTCCTACAACTGCTTGGCAGCAATCGACTACCGCTACAAGTTTCGTTACATTGGTGTTTTTAGTGGCAGCAATTCGGACCAATCAATGTGGAATCAGTCCGCTGTTCTTGGTGTTTATGCTCGAAGCCTATGTCCTCCAGGCATCAATTGGTTGGGAGATGCTGGTTTTAAACCATGGCCTTTTTTATGGTGCCGTTTGATGAGCGAGGTGACAAGCACCTGACGGCAAAACAGCGCAGGTTATGACGAATGCATTGTCCATGTCAGGCGAAAGACTGATTAGTTTGCTGTGCTACGGCTTGTTCTGAGGCAGCTACAATTATCATCTCTCTCAAACCCGTATTCTAGTCGAGTGCGTGTTTGGAAAATTGAAGGCACGATTCAAGATACTACATGGAGTGACCGATCGGAAAAAAGCACAGCACCAATGCTCGCATGATCACTGCTGCTGCTGTCCTGCACAATTTGCTGATCGACATTGGAGATAAGCAATTCATAGTGAAGCGTAATGCGGCTCAGAAGGCGAGAGATAGACATGATTCACGACGCGTGATGCAAGCGTTTAACGAGGATTGGGATCGAACGCAAGCTGAAATTAATTTAGCAATCGCAAAGAGAAATACATATGCAGATCGGTTTTACAAAAACGATCAAGAATAAATGCGAGTATAGCAGACACTGTGACGGAGCCGACGTTGTCAGGAAAGTTATAATCGAGCAGAAGAATTGTTAGTTCCCATTAGATTGGTTCTGCATCCACCTCACCATTTCGCTGTAAAATCCAGCTGTAACTTGGTGTAAACCCGCAATGCTGGTTAGCAGCGCCTCGCTGTTGGCCTGCTGCTTTGCATTGGACTCTTCAATCGATGACGTCAGCTTTTAACCAGTACAGACATCTCCCCGCTGGCTTGAGATGACTGCTGGCGAGCCGAAAAAATACGTTGAATCGCTTCAAACCCCGATCTGAGAGTAGTACTCACTACATCTGCAGGTCGTTTTGTGGCAAAGTTGCTATATTGCTTGTCACGTTGTTTTTTCGCTTTAGCTGTTGCTTTTGCCTTTTCGCGAGCTTTGGTCGGTGATTTATATGAATCTGAGTCCGCGTTATCGTCTCCGGCGCGCTCATCTTCATCACTTTCGCTGGGAGGCAGGCTCACTCTATCTGGGACACCAGTCTCCACGAAAGCTTCACCCGTGCAGCCCGGTCGATGCGAAAACACATCACACAACAGCGGCCATAGAGCTGCGAGGTCTGAGCCAAGCTCCTTTCGATAGATCGGATGCACCGACGTGGGATTGCTCGTGAATTTGCGTCGACGCCCACCACTTTCGGCAGCACTATCATCTGAGGCCTCGTCATGCTCTCCAAAGAAGCAATCGGCTAGAATTTCTGGATATTTCCGAAAGGTGTCCTCTCCCTCATCACTGCTAGCGTTTGCATTAAGAGGGCAATTTCCTGTGGCAAGCATTCGGCCTCGCTTGGCCTTGTATCCGGCTCGAACACCATCTAGCTTGTTCTTGAACTGTTTGACCGTCACGTTGCGAGGTTCGTCATCACCCCACGCGTTCTCCATCAGAGCCCGCTGCTGAAACACATTGATTGTGTCCTCCCACATCGCACGCTGAGCTTTCGTGTTTGAATTCTTTATAGCAATTTTTCAGAATCTGCTTGTTCTAAAAGCGAGCTTCGATCGCCAAAGTCGTTAATTGAACGGTCTACTTCATCGTCTTCACTTCCTTTGTATCGGCTGTGCGTTCACCCATCTTACTGCCTTTTGCACTACCCTTCGCTCCACCCTTCGCTTTCTTGGTAGCGTTTTTTCGTTGGATTTGGCGGTGAACGTTGTCATGGCCTGCCTCGGTTACAACTTTGTCCATGCAGATTGCTACGGACTTGTGCATACCCGCCATCTTGGGCTTGCGCGTCCTGCGAGTCGTTTCTTTGATTGCTGTTCCATCGCTCAATGACTTGCGAGCTGGTGCCTTCGATACAGACGAATTGGACTGAGCGGACAAGTCTTCACTTGCTTCTGTAGAGGTCGCACTTTGATCAGATCGTCTAGATCTTTTGCACGGGGGTTCTGCATCAGCAGGCACTTGGCCACTTGCATCTGCTTGATCCCCTTCGTACTGTGTGTAGTAAGACGGCAAACCCAGCGACGATGGCGGCTTCGTAGCAGAAGCCAAATGGTCGAGGTTGGTATTCGCTGGAGATCTTGGATATGCTTCTGTATTTGCGTCCTGCTCTGCGGGTGTTCTCTGCATTTTGGCTGGGCTGGTGAAGAGCGGTACGCAAGAGTGACGACAAAAACGCTTGAACAGAAAGGAAACACTATCATTTAGCATGAAGGAAGGAAAACTCTCCGTGAAGATATGCCGCTTCCAAGGAAATTCGTTGTACCAACTTTTCGAGACTTGGACAAGAAGATGACTTCTTGATCCTACTTTTTTCTCTCCCCAAAGAAGTCATTTCGAATAAAAGTTATCACCTCTTTTATTTGGACAGCACCCTTACCGGTACTACGTATTTGCTACATCCACTGCCGACAACCAATGTAATAAAAAAGATGAGGAGCTAAAGCTCTCTAAATTATATAATACGTCACTCTTTTGTGTCCCCATCAGTCCGCATTCAATAAGAAAACCTAAGGCGTCATATCTTACTGGAGTTAAGTTATACTCGATTGATTAACATATCTCGGAGCTGGCAGGGCTTACCAAAACATTTTTTTGGTCGTTTATGAACTAAGGGAAATGGTCAATTTAGTAGCCGCTTTGAACATCGTGCACACTTTGGTCGATATCATCAAGAGGAATAGTCCAATTAAAACGCTACTTGCGCCATCGAAAAGAGCCGACACACAGCCATTTGTGAGAGTTTTTACTGATTGAATGCTATAGTTTTGTTGCATTTGTGAAGATTGCAAGTTGGGCGTTACGTTTGACGGACTTGTCAGTTTAGTAGCCACATTTGACTTAATTTCATTAAACTGCTCGATTCATCATCAAATAAACAAGTCTAAGGGTTAGGGGAAAATCCTGTCTTAAGTCATATTTTCACCGTTTCAGCATTATAAGCAGTTTATAAACTGCGACAGCCTAAGCCCACGCCTCTACCACAGGTTCAATTTTCGTCGCTGGCTCCTGGCCAGCTTTCTTCTTCCTGGACGACACTGATTCCTTCGCCTTGGTTATCCCAGTCTCGGAGGCTTTCTCCTGCATCTTCTGGTAGCATATTATGCGGGCCGCGGTTGGGCTTGCGAAGAATCCTTTTCCGAGCTAGAGCGACGTACTACTTAAGCGTGCTATGGGGAATCTTGGTTTGTCGCTCGTTGTCTTCGTAGTGGACCCCGAAAGCACCTCTTAAACAACAGCGCGTCAGAATAAGGTGCTTGAAGCCTTCCTATTAAGCCAGGCTTGGAAATGGGCGGGGAATATCCAGATATAAAGTGCTTCAGGTTTTTACTTAGACGGAGCAATTGTAGCTTTGGCAAATCAAATCAGTAACCGTATGGGTACATTGACGGTATTGGGTGAAAATAGGTCGGCTACTAAACTGGCAAAAGCTACTAAATTGACCATTTCCCTTAGAAACGAAAGAAGAAATAGATATATGTTTTTCTAGCAAAAAAACTTAAAAACAGGCTTACCGGTATTAATAACGATCACATTGTTTCGAATGGACTCAAATTTTGATCTTGACCTGAAGACTGACAAAAAAGAAATCAAAATCACCATCATATTGCATAAAATATTCTATCTAGCAGGCTCGCGCAGCTAGACCGACCAGCAGACGATCCACAAAATAATCTACGACGTTTACTAGTAATATTTTGTTCTGCTCATTTCCTAGTTGGCGACTGAATGAACCAACCCTGTATCCTGGGTATAGCCGGAATGGACAATACGACAGCGAGCAGCAACTGTAGGCCTTCTCAGGTTGCAACTCCCATAAATAATATTTAATCATTAAATATCGAATGATCAAAAGTTGCAATTTCTTCCGTTTTGGCTGTAGGGATTCAGTATGAGTGTTAATATTCTCTGTCTTAGTTAACATTTAGTACGATTAAATCGTATTAGTTTTGGCAACCTCAACGATATTATTCAATGAGTAACTCATAACTTAATAATATTATTAAATGCTCAAATCAGAAGCTGTTAATGCTTACCTCTGAACATCCTTTATGAACGCTACGAGGTCCTGTGCAAATGGCATTATGCACTTAGCACCCTGTCCCTTAGTCGTCTTACTAGTCTGTGGCCCGTCGAACTCTTCAATATTCTCCTTGTCGTCTATCAGAGTGCGACGATGAATCTCGAGGCTCTCTGATGCAGGTTTACACCCTATCGTCTCAGCAAGGATAATCGCTTCACGCTTTTTGCGGATTGAGTATGAAATATGGGGCGCCATTTTTGAAAATGACCGCTGTACGAAGGAGCCCATCGCGTAGCCACTCGATAAATACAGATATTTATTGGCTAAAACTAAATGACTTGGGATTTAAACTTCAACTGTTACTACAGTAGAGTGTTTTTTGTAGTATGGCGGATTGCACCATCGTTGTCCGTAACCACGCAATTTCAGGCGATCGTGTAATAGCAATTTTTTATAATGCTACTTTTATTTCTAGTCTTGGGTCATTTAGATGGTCGCTGTCCCCACTGTCCGAGATGGACCAAATTTGTTAAAGAGGCAAGGGAAAATTTTAATATGCATCGATTTTTTTTACTACGCCCTTTTGAAGTCTACATTGCGGTTAGCTTCTCGAGTGCAATTGAGTATTGCAATCTACGAGGAACATGCAACTGGGCATTGCAATTCAAAACTGCAATACTTCGCTTCAACGTATCTTCAATCTTATCGCGGTCTGCATTAAGTTTTTCTTGGTGTCTTATCGCCTCAGCACAAATTATTCAAGCAGGTGTAGCGTTGGCTGTGGCAGTTGTCGTATAGCACCTTGCGGTATAGCATCTGGCGGTGCCTTCTCCGTACCGCGTTCTCTACTTTATTCTCCAATTCGCTCGGTGGTCAAAACAGTCCTTACGCCCATTGACCCACGCCGTCAACACACAGGGTCTTCTTTGGCACAACTAGATATGACCCTTTCCAAGCAAAAATTGCACCGCGGGGAGGCTCCGACGTGATCAAGTTCTACTTCCACTCCTAGCTCTTGCAGTGCTGTGGTGTACAAGTGCCTCAAGTGCGATCGAATGCCAGCTCAGCGGTGGAAAACAGGCTACACCAATTTGTATCGGCACTTGAGTGCCTTCCAAGGTAACGACTTCAGAGCAAGGTCCGCAGCTGCTATCAAGACGCAAAATAGCAAGCTTGGGTTTGAAGTCATCGAGTTTGTGAGTGAAGGGGATTTTTTCGTGTTTAAGTGGATAAAGTGGCTCATAATGCGGGATATGCCTTTCAGCGAGGTTGACAATGAGATGTCACGAGAGCTTGCTTGGATAAAATCGGCGCTGCATGTATGTAGTAAATCGGCTCGAGCCTGTATACGCGTGCTGGATCCGCTAGTAGAGCACATAATTACGGACGAGCTTTCGAGCGCGTCCCTATCATGTTTGATGGATAGCAGCACAACACCACTACGTAGCAGTATTTGCTGTGTACATGAAGGACGGCAAATGCTTCGAGGTGCTGCTGGAGTTTTCACCCCCACTGGATGAGAAGTCCCACACGGCCGAGTCCCATCGTGATCTGATGAATTTCGTGCTGAAAGTTTCAATAAGTCGCTTGAGAGCGTCTCAGTACTAATAGGTGACATATCCTACCAACGAGGCCTCAGCCGATTTAGTGGGTGTGCCTCTCCTAGGCGCGCAGCACACAAATTTAATCTTGCTGTGAAGCGATACGTGAACGGAAAATCTGGCGCTAGCTTCGCTATCGACAAACTCATTTAATGTGCTCACAAGATACAAACCTTAAAGCGGCAGCTGCATTGCGAGAGATTACCGACCTGATGACGGTACGCTCTAATGATACGAGATAGTCATCAACCTACCAAATGCTATCTAGATTCTATCAGATCGAGAAAGGGGCTGCGACGGGTACGCGAGGTTGAAGTTCCACGCCATGCTTATATTCAAGTGCTCAGGGATATTTTTCGTTACTGATTCGGTTTGATCAAGTCATGGTTGGGCTCCAAGATAAAGATGTTACCGTCGCTTCTGCTCGTGCAACTTTCGATGCTCTACTAGAGGACTATCCAGAAATGAGCCACTATCTTGCTCAAGATGCGTTAATTGCACACAATCCAGTATTCGAGTCAGCTTGTTCGAAAGTGCTGAACGAGACTTCAGGAGATCTTTCCGCTCTAGAAAAACTGCAATCAAGCAGCTCGAGGTTCGTCAAGCACGGGAGCGTCGGCGTTTCGTGTCAAGTGAGAAGACAAACTACTATCAGGAACAACTACACCATTTTTAAATCAAGCTGGCAAATTTCTCAAAGCAAGTGAGCTACTGAGGTTTTTAAGAAAAAAACCTAAATTTGGCTTTATTAAAGAAAAAGTACATTTCCCACAAAGTGGAAATTGGCGCGTTGTGGTTCCCAATCAAGTGAAGAATAGCCAACCGTTCTGGCGCCAATTTGCTCCCACGGGACACCAATCATTCTGTGTTGAGCAGTAGCCTCATCTTTCTTGTCACTTTCATTTCTGCGCTGTTCCCAAAGCATGCCGTCAAAGCCCACCCCTACGAGGAAACAGCGCTAACACGAACAAATTGTTGCCAAGGCATGCGTCGTGCGTGCCTTCAAGGATGGCGCGAATTGGCAGAATGTCGCCAAGCACAATGATGTTCCGTACAGCACCGCTCGTCGCGCCGTTCTTAACGCTGACACTGAGCCCGGGGATCACGGAGGAGTTCGCGACGTTCGCGTTAAAATGACTGCTTCAGTCATGGCCCAGCTGGAGGTATATCTCGACGAGGGTTGCCGCCACACCTGTGAACAGATGCGCGACAGGTTGCTGAGGGATATGGGCGTGTCTGTAAGCACGTCTTCCGTGCACCGAGCCCTCCAGGGCATGGTCTACAGTTTCAAGAGGATCGAGAAGATTACAATGAATAACGCGGAGAACAAGACGAAGCGCAAAGAGTTTGTGGACAAGTTGGAGAAACGCACGTCTGCGGGTGACATGATCGTGTTTCAGGACGAAACCAATCTCAACATGTATCTGTCGCGTAGTAAGAGCTACCCGCGGGTTGGAGAGCGTGCACGGTGGCGCTTGCATCCTCTAAAGGGCCAACTTACATATACAAGGTGGTGTTTCGTCTGGAACCGGTATCGTACTCATGCGAACCCACTCTGGGCCTGTCAAGAAACAGGAGATTGCGCGCTTTGTCGCTGATCTCTTTACGACAGCGTTGGCAACGGACGGGTACCGTGAGCTGGCGCCGTCCAACAAGATAGTCATTGTTACGGACAATGCGCCGGTCCACAGTGAAGTCGATACGCTTGCAAGAGAGATTCTGACGGGGGACGGGCCCCAAGCTGGTCGTGCTGCACTTAGCGCCTTACAGCCCCCTGCTCAACCCAATTGAGGGCTGCTGTTATGTGCACAGGCTAAGGTGCGTCGATTCATTGCCGAGCGTAAGGAGGAATTTCTAGTAAAAGGCGAGTACGACACATTCTGCGTTCACCGCCAGGCGCTGATGACAGAAGCTGTGGAGATGGCGAAGCCTTCTATTACGCGTCGGTTGGTCTGGCGTATAGAGCGTCATTTTCTTAAGGCTTCCTTTGTGGCTACAAAAGGAGAGGACATGGAACTAGGCAAGTAGGAGGTTCCAGCGATATGTAGTCATATTCACTTGATCGTAAATGTCGACTTGTAGAATTTTCACTTTGTGAGAAATGGCTTTTTTCTGATGCCTAAATTTTGTGCATAAATAAAGACGTTCACTTGCTTTAGAAAAATTGCCAACTTGATTTGGAAATGGTGTAGAACGTAAGCGGTTAAGGACGACGCAGTCTACATCATACGAGGACTTGCAGTTCCTGAAGGGAACGTCCGTGGCCGTTGAGCGATTGCTCAGCTCTGCCAAGTCTGTTATGACAAACCGAAGGGCCAGGTTAACTCCTGTTATGTTTGACGCGATCGTGTTTCTAAAGAGAAACCGCGATTTTTTGGGATTTAAAACTTGTAGCCAGGACTATCATAGATGCGCATACTGATGAACGAGGATATCAACGATTGCAATAGATCCTCGCAGCAAATGGATATTGCACATTCCACTCCACTTGGGTATTGCAATTTCTAGCCTTTTTGCAATTTCTCCTTTTAACTGCAATACATCTCCTGCGGATAAATCAATTTATTTTTTCCTTCCCTGAAGATAGCCATAATTGTCTAGAGGTCGACAATTTTATTAGTCAGTATTATAGTAATACTTCTAAAGTAGAGTTCTCCCCGTCTCGCTACATTTAGTAGTACTCAAGTATTAGTTTTGTGGACGGTATAGTGCTATAATATAGCAGTTTGGCGAAAAATCAAACTACTATCGATCCCTGAGAACTGCGAACGGATCCCCAATTAAAATATGAAACCATAATAAACCGATTCGGTCATTTTCCCCATGGTGAGCGGACACGAGTCACATGTGTGTTTGCGTCGCATTGCTAATGGGCATTTCATGCATGCTGGCGGACATTTCGGCGCGTTACACTGCACCCGATGACCAGCCGGCCTCTCATCGAGCGACTTGACTCAAGTCTTGAGGGTCCCGGTTTGAACAGCTGGTAAAAGTCGGTAGCGACTTGTCCTCCCGTTGTGCATGCTTGTACTACAAAAGTCTCCCCTTACATTATCCGCACCACGCAACCAAATCGTCGATCGTCTATCGGCTCCCGTTCCTCCCTCTCTTCTCTCTGTCCGGCTGGCGCGTTGCAGTCGAATAGACAGGCCTTTCACTTTCTCTCTCGCCAACGGAGCTCTTAAAGACCAAGCAACCACTTTTCCAGGCAAAAGTACTCGTGATCGGCCACCATGAAGTTCTTCGCGCCGATCGTTGTGGGCTTCATCGCCTTCTTCTCGGCGCAGGTGGACGCCAACGGCGTGTGCTACGACCCAGACCACACCAGCGGCAAGAGCGCCTCGACCGTGCAAGCTGACATGAAAACCATCGCTGGTGCCGGCTTCACCAGTGTGCGCACGTACATTTCCAAGTTCGGCAACACGGAAATGGGTCCGATCATCACTGGCGCCGGACTCACGGCTGTGCTGGGCGTGCCGTACCCGCAGAGTGACTACCTGGAGCAGATGGAGGCCGCCATCTCGGCTGCCAATGCCGGCGGCGTGTACGCCATCATGGTCGGCAATGAGAACTTGGCGGGCGCCTCAAGTATCCCCAGCGGCATGATCGACGTCATCAACCAGATCAAGTCGCGCGTGTCCTGCAAGGTCGGCACTGTCCAGCGTAACACGGAGATGATCGGCTACCAGAGTATTTCAGGCTGGTCGGACCTCGTTTCGGCCTGTGACGTCCTGGGGGTGAACGTGCATCCGTTCTTCAACCCCGGCACGACTGCTGACGGCGCTATCGACGTCGTGGACAAACAGTGGCAGACGATGATGGGTAACTTTGGAGACAAGCTCCTATTGACCGAGACGGGATGGCCATCCAGTGGCTCGGTGTCGGGCAACACCGGTAGTCTGGCGGGCGAGCAGACTTTTTACAGCGCCTACCAGCAGTGGAGCAACAGCCTTAGTGAGAAGTTCTACTTTCAGTTCTTTGACATCCCAAGCAAGCCGGAGGCTTATGAGCAGACTTTCGGTCTGTATACGGCGGACTCGCAGCCCAAGTTCACCATGTCCCACCAGCAATCGCCTTCAACTCAGCAGTCTCCGTCGTCTTCAACTTCGACGTCTCAGCAACAGCCAACCACGTCCGCCCCGACGACGGCTGCACCGGCCCCAACCACCGCCGCTCCGACCCCGGAGCCGACGATTGCTCCGGAGCCCAGCACGGCTACGCCCACGCCGACCCCGGAGACGTATCTGAGCTCTGGGTCTAGTGAGACCAAAACCAACACCACGTCTTTAATCGCTTCGCACTCGGGCTCGGTGTCGAGCAACGGTGACAAGACTGGCAGCTTGGCCGAAAAGGAGACTTCGTCGACTGAGCAGGACGACACTAAGAGTCGGACAAGACGTCCGATACAACGCAGTCCACTGCGACTATCAGCTCCACCGGTAAGAGCTCAGAGTCGCAGCAGCAGGAGCAGCAGCCGTCCAGCAACGGCCAGGACAACACTCAGAAGGTTAACAATCAGAGCGAGGAATCTGACGGCAAGGGTCGCGTCGTCGGACTTGCTGTTGGCGGTGGTGTTTGTGCTATGTTGGTCGCCTTCGGCTTCATCTACCAGGCCCGCAAGCGTGCGCAGGAACTGGAGGATGAGGACAAGGACGTTCACTTCTCGACCGTCACGCCTGTGGAGAATATCTGCTCGCTTTAAATGAGTATAGCACTGATTAGTCTTGCCATTGAATCAACGTTCCGGTTGTCCTTGCTCAAGTAAAAGTTTATACTGATGCCGTGCGTCCGATAGAAAGCTCTATGCATGGAGGCTTCTTCTACTAAGGCGCTGCAGGTGCTGGCGCCGGCGTTCCACCTTCCGTTGTAGCAGGTGCCGTCGTCTTTGCAGCTTCCAGTCCGACGGCAGCAATCGCAGCCGCAGGTGGCTCGAAGTCGCTGGCACTCACTCGCTTCTGAGCATGATTCAAAGCCGAAATGGTCTTGGCCGCCATGATTCCATAACGGAAGCGGCGACGGGCGTTGTAGCGCTTCATTTCTTGAGTGAAGTGTGGCAGGGCATCGCCACTCACGCCGTGGATGTCGGCCACCCACGGGTGATCGAGCACTTGTTGAGCAGTGAATCGCTTCTTGGGGTCAACAACCAGCAGTCGTGAGATCAAATCTTTGGCCGAGTCCGACACGCAGTCCCAGTACGGACTCGGGTAGTCGTAGACACCCGACTTGATTGACTGGAAGAGTGCAGCATTGTTTTCGTCGTAGAATGGAGGAAAGCCGCACAGCAGAATATACGCGATGACCCCGAGACTCCAGAGATCCACCTCAGCTCCGTACGGGCGACCTTCCAGAATCTCTGGAGCCACGTAACCGGGAGTACCACATGCCGTCTGCATGAGCGAGTCGCCCTTGATGAGCTTGGCGAGACCGAAGTCGGCGATCTTAATCTCGGCATTGTCGTCTGTGGACTGGTACAGCAAATTCTCGGGTTTGAGATCACGGTGGACGATGCCCTTCTGGTGACAGTAGAGCAGAGCGTCCGCCAGCTTCTTGACCACGCAACTGGCCTCTTTTTCGGAGTATTTCTCCTTTTCCACGATGCGATCGAAGAGTTCGCCGCCACTCATTTCCTCCATGACCATGTAAAAAGTCTTGTGGCAATCGAACACTTCTTTCAGCTGGACGATATTCATATGGTGCACCAGTTGCAGCACTTCCACTTCGACTCGAAGCGCCTCTTCATCCTCCGCCGTCAGACTCGCCTTGTCGATGCATTTGACGGCCCAACGCGAGTTGTCGGCCTTGCTGATAGCGCTCTTGACGGTCGCGAAGCTCCCACTGGAGAACAAACACAAGTCTCAGTTTCAACACATTGTTACAGCATTAACAGAATCGCGTACGTTCCAAGTGTCTTGCCCAGCTTGTAGTATTTGCTACACTCGTCCTTCTTGTAAAACTCCGTCACTTTCTTCATGATGCCCGTCATGGCTGTCTAGAGGTTGTGGAGCGAGCTGAGGTCACTTCAAGACGCCTATTTAGTGAATGAGGTGTTTCGAAAGCTGCCGGATAGTAGTGAATCACGAAAATAGCAGAAAACTGCCATGACATCCCAGAGCTTCCTGTCTTGTCGGAAGCTAATAAATAACTTGAGCGTGAAACTGCGTGTCACCAACTTCATTCTCCTGCGGAACGGCAACGTCCGACTACACACGATAAACCAAGTGATACTCTGCAACACCTTTGCATTTTAAAACGAATCTATCTAGTATGGCCGAGAGGCTTTGCGTGCCTTCCGGATGCCTGCCGGGTCGAGTCCCGACGCTCTTCTGGAGGAACCCGAGGACGAGTAGCCGTCCGTAGTCTCAGCCGAGCCCGACACCGTCCACTTGCAGAGGCGCGTATCCTCACCTCCCGTGTACAGCGTAGCATTCTCTGGGCCATAGTAAATGCAACGTACGCAGGACTTGTGGCCACCCTTGAGTGCCGCCGCGTGCTGCAACTTGCCGGCTGAGGCGACGTCTGTGCCGATGGTAACGGCGTTCAAATCGCCGTCGTGGTTGCCGGCCAGCAGGAAGAGCTCGTTAGACTGGTCGTCGTACACGCAGTCGATTAAATAGTCAGTGGACAAGCCGTTCTTGTTGCAGTCGTCACGGATCGTGTCGTAGTGGTGCAGTCGCTCGGCCGTCCAGAGGTTCCACAGGTCGAGCGTCTCGGTGCCTGTGAGACAGAAGATGTTCTCCTTCTGCGGGCCGAAGAAGCCGACAGTGGTGACGGCACTCTCAACGTTGAAAATACTCTCGAGCGCATCGTCTTCATCGGGTATGCGGCAGTCAAAGAAGCACACGACGCCGTCTTCGGACGCCGTGACCACGAACGCCGGCTGCGTCGGGTGGAATCGCACCTTGGTGATGGCGTCCACGTGGCTTTCTCCGTATTGGCCGAGCTTATTCCCCGTGCGAACGTCGTAAAATAGCGCGAGTTCGTCAGTACCCGTGGCTAGCAGCGTCTCGCCGCATCCAATGGACAGACTCCAGACTTCGCGTCCGACCGGCACCACCATTGCTGGGAGTGCCGCACGAGTGTCCCAGAGCTTGACGCACTCGTCACTAGAGCACGTAGCTAGCTGGAAAGGAGAGGACGAAGATGTCCACACCTCGTTAATGGTGCTATTATGCGCGTGGAATTCGTGCACTAACCCGAGCGTCTCGAGACTGCGCAGCTGAATCTTGCAATTGGATAGCGCCAGTGCTAGACCGCTTTTGTTCGCAGTGGGCTGGCAGTCCAACACGTAGTCATAGTCAAAGTCCTCGCTCGGATTGGCCAGTAGTGCCGTGTCATCTGTCGAGGCGAACGTCGCCACCGCCGTCTGAGCCAGCGTAAGGCCGCCGCGGTTCAAGGCATTGCGCATGTTGGTCAAATTGCACAATGTATCCATCTGATCAATGGCGGGTGCTTACCTTCTATATGATTGGTTGAAATACAATGCGTAGATTCCTCGACCAATGGGTGCCTTCTAATTCCCAATCGATGGATGAACGCTTGAAGTCGCGCCGCGGATCGGTGATCTGTTCACCTCCATCAGCTCGATCGTCAACATTCAGCTCCATCGCCACCGGGACTGCTCTGCGCACGCGGGAGAAGGCGCGTCTTGAGCTTCTTAAGGCTTCAGACCACGAAAAGGCAGCGAATCATGTACCGCTCGACGAGTCGTCGACGGGTATGGACGCGAACAGCCATGATCGGTTAAACTTCAGCAGCGATACAGGTGGCGGTGACGAAGAAGTTGCACCTCGGAATATGCTCGAGCACTCTTCAATGTATGTGGATGAGGATGAGCTACGGGAGCTGCGACGACGGCCGCCAGTTGCTTTTGAAGTGCGAAATGCGGCGACGAAGGAGGGAGAACTGCAAGTTGCAGTGGGAACAACAGAGACGACGATATCAAGACCCAAGAGGGGTCAGAGCTGGCACTCACCTGTGCATGTCCCTCTTTTCCACCGTAAACTGGTGCAGCCGCCAGAGATTTTCAGAAAAGACCCACCGTTCCGACCCATTGCGCCTCTGGCACCGAAAAAAAGAAGATGGCGCGATAAAGCGGGTATTCTATCAGGTAGAGCGGCACATAATCTCACAAAGCTGACACCAATGACTATTCCAGCGCCAGAAGCTCGAGACCAGCTCTCCGATCAGTACGTTCTTGGTCAGTTTTAATATTTTGATTGTAAACCTGCTGACTTGTTGCTCGCAGAGCATTTGTTAAGAAACTCCGAGAGAAGAATAAAGAGCTATTAGATCGCTTGGTGCAGAGATTCGCTACGTTGAGACGCGTGAGTGATGAAGGCCAGGAAGGTCACGAGTATACCTTTGGATCTCCAAAATCTCGTACCGACAACAACGCCCCCGCCACGAAGCTCTCAGGCTTTGAAGACGCTATCCTTTTCTTCTTACATGTCAAGCACAAGCACGACGTCCTGTACTTCAAGCGAAAGACTGCGAGAGGAGGAAAAAACGCCGAGCATACGAAACTCTCTCTTGGATTGTCCTCAGCACCTGCAAGTACAGGGAAATATATGCCGTACGACTTGGAACGCATCGATGAGATGCCTAGATCCGGTGCTGGCGACTATTTCATGATGACTTCTTCGTCCCTCGTGCACCATACGAACAACAATGATAACGACGTATCGGGCGAGGTGATCCCGTTGTCGCAATGGATTATGGAGAGTAAGACGTTCTCTCTGCTTCTCGCTGGGATTCCTCTTTTTCAGAAGTTTCTCGTAAGGAAAACCTTTATGGGATGGGTGCGTGCGATTCGCATGACCATCTACCGCGACAACTGCAAGCGTGTCGCTCAATGTCTGCCCTTCGCACGTCACTCTTTCGTTCGATCGATACTGCAGTCCAGTCGCACTCTTCGTGATATCCAGAAGATCCGATCGTTAACCTTACCGACCACTCGACCCGCAGTGGGTCTCGTTACAGTCCAAGAACACCAGAAAGAACACTTAGCAATGGCGGAAATGAGCCTGATCGATGCGAAGGAAAAGCTTCTCAGTCTTATGGAGGAAACGGTGCAAAAAATCTACGACGAGCTGAATCCCCCGACCAATTTGGACAGCGCTGAAGCCGCCGCGTCTGTCCGAAGTAAAAAAACTAACGCCAAGTGGAAATCGGTCCCTATAGCTGCTATGCGTCAGCGTAAAGCCGCCCTCCGACGCCAAAAAGACGCAGCAACGCACGACATTTCGTTGCTGGAGACGTACATTCGCGTGATGGATTATATGTTCACTGAAAGCCTCTACTTGATGCTTATTGGCTGTATTCGGCACTTACGCGACCAACTCTCTGCTGAGGAAAGCTTAGGCACTCTTTGTGCGGCAGTGACGATCGTCGGGGACTCGCTCGACCTAACGCCATCGTTTGAGCAGACTAAACACATTTTCTTGGATGGAATAACGCGACTCACTCGTCTGGTGAGCAACTTCCACTTCACTAAGAACGCTGCGACGTGGAGTAACAACCGAGGCACGGGGTTGTTAGCCGTCGTTGTCGAGTCTTTCGAGTCCAGCGACTTGTTCTCCTCCGAGTTCGACTTGCAATCCGTTGTCAGAAAAGACCCCAAAATTGACAGAGTCACGAAAGAACTCGTCTCAGAGTTGGCGCTCTGGTTTGATCGGGCTGCTCAACAGATGCTCGCATTTGAGTCTTTACGTGTCATTTCTGTCGAGGTCCAATCGGCGCAAATGCAGCGAGGAGATGACCAAACTGCTGGATACGTCCAGCCTTTTCTCACTCGACTGATCGGAGTTTCTGGTGGCGAACTCTCGCGATTCTTAAAGAGTATTTCTCACCGTCTCAATGTTCTCGATCGCTCGCAACATGCCTGTCAGAAAGTGCAATCGAGCTGGAAAGTGGGGTTTCTGGAAATTCAGTGCCGCGATTCCATTGCTAAAATTCTGGAGCTCATTTCTCAGGAACGCAATTCACTGCTTGGAAAGCTTCACGCACTGGCGAGCGAAGGGGTCGCCGAGTGCGTCAGTGCGCTGCAACGAGCCACGGTACTATTGGAGGATCGGCCGCAACTAATTGAGTTTTTCTGCGAGCAAATGAAGCAAGTTCGACTGCTAAAAGAAGGAGAAAAACAGCTGAATCAAAACATTCGCAATGTGGACGAGACTGTTCGAGCCTTAAAGCGCTTTGCACCTTCGCTGGGGTCGGACGTGTCTCCTCAACACAACGTTATGCACCAGTTCGTAAGCAAATACACAGCGCTCACCCAGTCGCACGCCAAGTTTGCAGCTAAAGTTCTGCCCAATATCACATACCAAGTCAACTCTGCGCTGCAGAAATATTCATCACGATGCCAGAACTTACTGAAAATGTACGATGAGTTCTCTACTATGGAAGAGCAGGAAGACATGGAGAAGAATGTGGGGGGTTTCCAGGAGGCTATACGTGAGTTGTCAGGGATCGAGAAAGCCACAAAATTGTATCAGGAATACCAGAAAATGGTCGGACTAAAAGTGGTGGAGATCCCGTCGTTGGCCGAAGCGATGGCCAAGTGGGGCGAGGTACGCGAGCTCGTCAATTTTACGTTACAGTGGCTGGCTGCGATCGACTCAATGGAGAATGGAATTTTCAGTGAGCAAAACTGGGAAAGCCACGCTGACAAAGTTCACAGTTTCTTGCCAATTATTCGAGAACTTCAAAGTCGGGAGCGCGCCGGGTTTGCGACAAAGCTGCTGGTTAATACCCACCAAGCCGTGATCGATTACTTGAGAAAGCTCAGTTTGGTGAAGGAAATGGCGCAGCCCTGGGTGAAAATTCACCATTGGAAGGAGATTTTGAAGCTCATGAACATTCTCAACTACGTGTCGAGTATTGGCGTGTTGCTAACAGATGGGTATACAGCTACGTTAGGGTTTCTTCGGAGTCGAGACTTGTGGAGATATGAACTGCAGATTCGAGAAATCACACAGAAGGCGCAGCACGACGCAGTGACGGAGAAGAAACTCAACGAGATGAAATGTCGACTAGAGGACGCGGTGCTCCCCATAATTCGAGTGCTTGACTCGTATGAACTTGATCTTCCGCGGGCGATTCATCTGCTGGGATCATTTGAGGACGATCTGCTTACCATTCAATCACTCGCGCAAGTCACAGCGTCGAGTTCTCTCCAGCTGCAGCTCGTGCAATGGCGTGACGAAGCTCGTCACTGCGAAGAAGTGCTGGATAGATGGATCGCAATCCAGAGAAGTCGCACTAAACTGAGTCTGCTGTTCTCGCTTCGAGATGTGCAGCAAAGTGTTACAGACGCGTCATTCGAGTTCCAGGCCATCGATCGCAAATGGAGAGGCATGATGCACTCAGCGAAAGGGACGGCGTCGTTGTCTATCTGTCTACGTGAAGTGGTTACGATTGGCTTCCTTGTGGGAGCTCAAGCTTCCCACGCGAAGTTGTGGCTTCAATTGGGAACTTATCTGGACGAGAAGCGAAAGTATTTTCCTCGTTTTAGTTTCCTGTCCGACCACGATTTATTCCAGCTAATTATCTACGCTCGAGATCCGCAGCATCTTGCTCGAATGGTCTCGAAATGCTTTCGAGGAATTGACTCGCTTCGACTGAGAAGGACGACAATAGACCTACCGGTAGTAAACTCTTCCGCATCTCTCGGCAGTGGCAGCAATATCGAGATTAGTGAGGAGAAGACAAAAGACGACGTGCCCGTCTCTAATCTTCAGGCAGGAGTTGACATCGACGCCATTTACGGCACAGCAGTAGGGGAAGAGTTGCCGATCAAGGCCTTGCGCGTCAGTGCGAGCCCCCAATTCTGGCTGAAAGAGCTGGACGAGCGTGTGAGAGTAGCTATGATCGAGGCAGTCCATGGTGCCATGAATGGGAGCATTGTCAGCCTATTTGAAGACAATCTGGAGTCACTGGTCAAGCCTCGTTCAAGCGCGTTGAAAAAGCGACTGGAGCCACGTGCTGACACTGGACGAAGTGGGGATAAACTTTTATATACGACTGAGTCGGACGCACAGATTACTGCAGTGGACGGTCGGGCGTGGCAAGACTATCCCCTTCAAGTCGTGATACTCTGCGTCCACATCCTCGTCACTCACGAACTCACCCCGTTAGTTCGACTCGATCGTTCAGGTGGAGCATGGCAGCGCTTCTGGCAGCAGTTTCAGCAGAAAAAGTCAAATTTGAGTGAGCATATTGCACGTCGAACCTCAAGTCCAAGAGAGCTCTGGGTTGCGAGCTCCATCTTGACTCAACTGCTCAATAAATCACAGGAAATACGAGAATTATACGAGGACCAACCAGTTGCAATCGTCGGCCAGTCGGTCGAAGCTGCTGCTGATCAAACCGAAAGTGACGTCTCTACTCACCATTTCAATTGTGCAACCGGGGATTCTTTTTCGTGGACGAAGCTACCGCGGTATCACTACGATCCGTTCGAGCAGAAGTGTATCATTCATCACTCACAGAAGACATACCAGTACGAGTACTCATTTATTGGTAGCTACACGTGTCCAGTGTTGAGTCCGCTGTGCAATCGAACGGTGTTAGCGATGAGCTCCGCGTTATCCCTTGAGCACGGACTGCTAGTGCATTCTTCAAGCAGCGGTGGAGGTACCAGAAAGCGGACACTTGTGAGGGATCTAGCAGCAATGGCCGGTCGGGAATGTATCGAATTTGACTACTCGAATGGGCTCACTCTCACTCATTTTAAGAGAATTCTGCGAGGTGCTCTTCAAAGCAACTCGATGTGGCTTTTGTTTTCCGGGGTCGAAGTATCCAGCGCGTTGAAGGTCTTCGCACACGAGATGAACCAGATCGTGGACGCGTTACGAGCGCGTCAGAGTTCCCTCGTTCTAGATGGCTCTCCAGTCGACATCACGAATAATGAGCTGGCTGTTGTAGTGACTTGCTCGCTTGACTACCAACTCTCTCACCACCAGCAGGTTCTCGTGCATCTCTCAAGCTGCTTCGCTCCAGTTTCCTGTCCGAGTGTACATTCGGAGTTCATAGTGGAGGCTCTACTGCTGGCGAACGGACTCAAGGACTGGAAGCAGCTCAGTGAAAAGCTAGAGGCGTTGTTTTGCCTCCTCATGGACGACTCTGCACCGTATATTAAGGATTTGTCGCTACACAAGCTCACGTTGGCTTTCGCAATAGTCCGAAACGCTACACTTCGGTTGGACACAAATCCGTGGCAAGCGGCTGAAAAATCCCTCGTAGCTGCGCTCTGGGATGAAATCCACTCTAGAGTTCTCCCAGAGCGACGCCTGGCGTTTCTGAAATGTATTCGTACCGTGTTCCCGCATGCAGTAGATCTGGAGATAAACGCTTTTGGAATGCTGGCTCTACGAACTCCAACTCGAAATTCTGCTACGGTTTCTTCGGACCTTTGGGAGAATTCAGCAGCTGATGAAGATGCCGCACTGCCGTCGAGTGAAAGCGACGAAGAAGATGGAAACCACGAGCTGAAACTTGTGAAACTGAGAATTGAAACGGCGATTTCCTCACGTCGACTGAGTGCGAGCGAGTTCTACGTTCGCAAACTCCTCGAACTGCACCAAATCGTGTCGAAAAAGGTCTTCGTGGTCGTCGTCGGTCGTGGAATATGCGGTAAATCCACTGCTATCAACGTTCTCAGCTCTGTGTTCGCAGGCAAAGTGTCCAGTTCGGAGAGTGCGCTCTTCGGAGATCCAGACAGGAAGCTTCGAACTGTTCGCGTATACACAGAGGCTTTCAACTTGAAAGACGTCTACGGAGAGGCGACGGGGGACTCTACTTGGGAGGATGGCTTCTTCATCCACTTCTTTCGCCAGAATTGCGTCGACGTCTCCATCGACAACGTCGACACTCTCGAGACGGGAGGAGATCCGGCTTTAAGCCCTCGACCCATGCGAAGGAAGTCTCTATTCGTACCTGAAGATACTGCAGCTAAGTGCTCGCTGGCGCCTGCGTCGTGGATTGTTTTCGACGGTGTACGAGACGCACCCACTCTACTGGAGCCTCTCCGCGGCCTGCTGAAGACTTCTCCAAAAGAAACCAAGAAAATGACGTTACCGAATGGAGACCAATTGGAATGTACACATGAAAAGCTGCGTATATTCTGCGAGGTCGAGAGTCTTGAGCACTGGTCGCCAACTTGTCTAAGTCGCTGTGGCTTGGTCTACATGCAGACGGAGCACATGGTGCCTTACACTGTCCTAATAAAGAGCTGGTTACAGCAGCAACAACCCAAACGTAATCGCTCGAGCTTAGCGCATCTGACCAGGTTCCTCGAACCAACTAGTGAGTTTGTGGTCAAGTTGATGAGAACGCACCTGCCTTCGATTTTGGGCGTTTTCAAGCGGTATTTCCCTTCTTTTCTCGAGTGTTCTGTCACTCATGGAGTCGCGAATATGCTGCAAGTTTTGACTCCATTCGTCGCAGAGATCGCTAAAGGGGTAGTGGAGGACGACGCCGAGTGGATGGCCGACGCTGGAGTTGCTGTGGCGTATGCTGCGACGATTTCTCTCGGTGCGATCCTCCCACGTCGTGCCAGGATGGAGTTCCACCTCGCCGCTACCAAAATCGCACCTCACTTGCAAAAAGAGCATCCGATCTTCACTTTTGACTGCTCTGCTACACTTTTTGACGTTGGATTGCGCTTCCAAGACCATCGAGCTGTCTTGTTCTTGTGGAGAACGTCGCTACTGGAGAGCGGGAAACCCACAACTCGTCGGAGCAGCTTCGCGTATCAATCAGAGTTCCCTCGTCGAACCAGCGCAGTACTGAAAGCGCGAGGACGAATTGTAACCAGTCAGGACACGGAAGACTCTGACGGTGATGATGAAATAGTGGGAGACACGTCCGCAATCACCAGTCCTCTCTCGGTAATTTACGTGCCCACGGCTGCTACCGTTAGCTGCAGTGCGTGGCTCAAAATGATAGGACTAGCCAAAGCTAATGCGTTTGTCGTTGGTGAGTCTGGGGTCGGCAAGACGCTCGTGATGGAGAATTGCTTACGACAACTCGGTCAAAAAGAGCGAGTGAGTGCCACTGCTGTGCAAGTTAATTATACTACAACTGGCTTTGATATCCAGAGAGCGATTGAGAGTGGGATGACCGGCAAACTGAAAGGCGCTCACTGTCCTGGAGTCGGTAAGCGATCGTTGGTGCTTCTACTGGAGAATGTTAATCTCGACACCCAGGTGTGATACTGCACAGAATAACTGGTTTGACAAACTATTTTTTTACTTACCAAGTATTAAACTGGTTCATTTGGTTGCTAGGGCTCGTCGATGCAAGTGAATGGGCCGTGTTCTGCAATGATTCGACAGGTTCTCGATGGGAAGGGAAGTTTCATCAAGTCGACGAAAGAATATGTGGAATTCCGAGATCTGGCAGTTTGGTGTTCGTTTTCACTATCGAAACTCGGATATCCTGGCGTCCCTACTCGATTATTGCGGCACTTTCACTTGGTACGTTGCTGATGCTTATGAGCAACAACCCAGCGCCATGTTTTCACCCCCTTTTTGCTCTCTTAGATGTGGCTTCCAGACCAGACGGACCACATTTTCGCTCAAGTCGCCCCAATGTTCACGAGCTACTTCAGAAGACGCTACGAAAGTTCATTCGGAGAACTGACCAGCGTCGTTTATCGTCTGCAACAGTTCCCCATTCAAATGTTCAAGCGAGGAAGAAAACTGTGGAAACCATCAGCTGTCACGCCTCACCTGCTCTTCAGTGTTGGCAGCGTCCTCTCGGTCTTCCTCAGTATCATGAATGCTTCATTATCACGCGTCCCTGCAGATCCAGCAACTGAATTCGAGCTTCTAACCTTGTATTTGACCTTACAGCTCCATCGAAATCGATTTCTCGAGCAGGAGAACCGAAATGAACTCCAAGCTGCAGCGTTCCGAATCGCCAAGAAGCTCGGATTTAGCTCCCAGAGCTTGGCATTTCTACGATCGCCTGAAGAATTTTTCTTTGCTGATTGCGGAGACACGGACGGGATCACGAGGATAAACGCGAAGACTCTCGCGGCCTTTTTCGTTGCAGGGGAGGAGCGATTTCACTGGAATAGAAAAACCTCGTTGAAAGCCGAGTGTTGTGCTTCTGGACCAGAATCTGGCGACCTCAGTCCTCGCAAGTCTCGAAGTAAAGGTATACGACCTGACAATCATTTCCCGACCCCAGGAATCGTCCCCAAGTCGCCGAATATCGTCAACGACAAAGCGGTCGTGCGGCGATCCTCGTTAACAAATTTAGCGTTGAAAAGTGGTCTCCCAGGCGAGAAAGTGGCCACTTGTTTGTCGTTTTATCAGTTGCAGAATACTCTGGACGTCTACAGTTTCTTGCAAAGTGGGGCTCGACACTTACTGCTCAGTGGCTCAGATACTGCTGATCGACGCAGCACAACAATGGTGGCATGCGGGACTCTGTCCTTCCGGCTCCGTGAAATTAGCGCTGAATTGCAAATATCCGTTTTTATCGAGCACGTTAAGAGTATTGTACTCGATGCAGGCCTCAAGGCGACGCAGACAGTCTTGTACGTTGAGTACGAGGACCTGGACGCGGAAGAAGTGGCACTTTTAGTGTATTTAATTCGTCAAGACGATCTCCCCTCGCACGTTTATTCCTCGGCTGACAAAGTGAAGCTTCACGCTCTTGGTCACCAACCGAAGGGGCGACCAACTTGTCCGCCAGCCAACCGAGCTTCCTTCTTACGAGGAGTGACGTCTGAAAAGGAAAAATTAAACGTTGGATCAAAGAAATCCGCGCAGTCGCCAGCGCATTTACAGACAATTTTTCGAGAAAACGTGAGGAGAAGTCTCTACGTCGTTTTATCCGTCGGGTGCAAGCGTAAATTACTCGAATTCATGACGCAGCAGCCGTGTGTTTACTACCGATTTGTGTCCAAGACTTTCCCACCGTGGCAGGATGCTTCGGCTAAAGAGATCTGCAACAATGCACTACAAGAATGGGAGCAGCTGCGTGAAGAATCCGAGATCTCCATCTCCAACCTACGAGATATGGTACTAACTATCCATCAAACAGCTGAAAACTTTAAAGACGATGGATTTGATCAGCGGTTGCCATCTATGGCCTCGCGCGCAAGAAGATTCGGTGCTGTAGCCACGCGACTGGATGAAATGCTACGAGTTTTTAAAATTCTGTTCGCATTTCACTACAAGAAACTGGACAAACAACGTCAAGATTTGAGAAAAGTACTAAGTTTTCTGACCAAGCGGTTGACGCAGACAAATGTGCGCGTTGCGAAGGAGGAAACGAGCGAAATTGCTCAAAGCGACGCCAGCCAAGCTGTCGTGGACTTCGCAGCACAGCTCTCAGCTCAAGAATCCGTCGAGAAAGAGGCGAGGCGGCTGTTTCTACTTGATGAAGAGCGTTGTGCTAAAATCCAAGGTGAGATCGAGATGAAACGCGCCAGTATCCAACGCGAATTATCCAAGACATTGCCCGACGTACAAGAAGCTACCGAGGCGCTGTCCCAGATCAACAAATACCACATCGTCGAGATGAAATCCTTCACGAATCCACCGCAGCTCGTACGTTTAGCCATGCAAGCGGTTTGTGTCCTGCTGGATGTTCCACCGACTTGGAGTGAAGCGCTACGGATTCTCGCAGATATTCGCTTTCTGGATCGTCTCCGGAACTTCGACAAGGATCGGATTGATCCGTCGCTCATGGACCGAGTCAGGTTTTACGTGAATCATCCGGATTTTTCAATGGAGAACATGAGACGCGCTTCTCTGGCGTCAACTACACTCTGCAAGTGGGTTTTAGCTTTGGTCAGATACTTTGAAGCGATGAAACGCGTGGCTCCGACGCAGCAATTGCTCGAGGAAATCGAGCAGAGTTACCATGTTGTCGTGCAGAGAGCTGAAGCCGAGAAGAGAAAACTCGTGGATATCGAGATCCATTTATCGGAACTTCGCGTCCTTCACGCCGTGAAAACCCAGCGAGAAGCGGAACTCCAACGAACACAAGAAACGAGGCAGCGCTTCAAGTCGTCGGTCACGTCGTTCGGTCAAGTGATAAAGCGATGGCACGATGTCACAAAAGAACGACTGGAATCTGTTGAAAAGCGGCGAGAAAATCTGCTATTGGATTGCGTGTTTGTAGCCACTCTGATCACTTTTGGAGCTGAAAAAAGTCATGGAAATCGAGACAAGCTCGTTTCTCAGTGTCAAGAAGCAATTCGAGCCAACTTATCTTCGTATGCAATGGCTGTCGGTATACCGACGATGATACTAGAGCTGAGTGGAGAAGGATTGGCTTCACCCTTGCAGAAGAGTCTAGGCGACATGATGGGAGAAGAAGAAGAAGACGAGGCGTTTGCTACGAGTCTTTTCCTCATGGATCAGATCCAGCAAGTGTGTTTCAAGATTCCGTTCCTCGTAGATCCTCTAGACCGCGGGGCGTCATGGATTAAACAGGCTTACAGCAACTCAACGCCATCCAAAGGATCATCATCGTTCGCTGGGTACATCGTGGTGGACGCTAGTGATCCTCTTTTCCTTCGTGCCATTAAGACCTGTGTAGCTCAAGGTCCGCCATCGATGGTACCTCTATTCAGTACTACTTACAGTGGGGGAGGTGATAACACAGTTTATTGATTCTAACGTGTCCCCGTTGTTGATGGAGGTTCTGGTAAAAAATGCATCTGAAGGTGACGAGGCTATCGTTGAAGCAGCATTGGAACTGATCGTGTTACTCAAGAAGAAAGGCACTTGTGCGGTGTATTTTGCAGCTAAATCTCTCGATAAAGCGGCCACTTGGTTACCTAAGGTGCGCTAGATATCGATGTGGTTATCTCTTAGAAATGTATATACACTTATCTGTGGCTCTTTTCTGCAGACTTGGAGCCATTTCGCTGTGGTCGACTTCACCCAAGACCCCGATAACTCCAGCGAATCAGTTCACAATGAGATTGAATCTCTCAAGTCCAAACTGAGCATCGAGAAGGCAAAAGAAGAAATTCTCTTCACGAGCTTCCTGACAAATATCTGCGCAGCAAGTGACGAGGCTGCACAAGCTTCGACTGCAGGTCTCAACTCGACTTCAATATCGATATTATCGGCTTGGATTTCGTCCGGATCTGGTCACCATGGATTCTACAATGAAGACTCGATAGAGCGGATTTCGGCGCAACTTGACGATTATATGGCAGTTCGACATGCTCGCATGCAACTGCAGCAAGATCTCAAAAGCGCACGGGCACTTCAAGTGTAGGCCGCCACGAAGTATTTTTTTTTTATTCAACAAATATGAAATGTGTATGAAAAATTAAACGGTTTATTTTACCCGAAAAAAGTGATCTGAAACGAAAATTTCTTTTTTTAAAGAAAATCATTTTTAGAGCTGTTTCAGATTGGTTTAAAAATTTCCTGAATATTTTGAGTCAACCGGCAGAAATTGAAATTATTAAATCGGTTAGTACAATTCGTAAAAAAAAACACGAGTTTTGACATTCCATGAAGCCGCTGTCAACTGCTGGGCCGTCGGACGACGACAAGCGCCTTAATGATGAGCTTCTGCAGACGCTGCGGTGCGTATTGCATCCTGGTTTCCTCTTGAACTCGCTCTGGAGCTCTAAGAAATGCGTCTTTGAACCAGGTCCTGCGGACTGTACGAGAGCGAGGAGCAGCTAGCACGACGCGAGAGTGTCCTGCAAAGACTGCATGATATATTGCAAGAGTACGCGCTGCACGAGGGCTTGGCGCTGTTCAGCGAAAAGGAGGCGGCCACGAAGCTCTTACAGCCTCGCACCTTCGGCTCATGCCGCCTCGGCGTGCAGAGCTGCGAGGCTGACATCGATACGTACGTAACTTTGTGTGTTCATTGGAAAAGTATCGCTATACGATCCAGCATTGTGTTCGTTACAGATTATGTGTAGCTCCAAGACATTGCACGCGTGCAAGCTTCTTCGAGAAGGCTCCGATCCTGCTGGAGGCGGCGTCCAGCGTCACGGGACTGCGTGTCATCAGTGACGCTTTTGTGCCAGTGATCAAGATGCAAATGGACGGGATTCCAGTGGATCTGCTGTTCGTGTCGCTGGATATGGACTCAGTTCCAGAAGATCTCAACATGCTGGACGATCAGGTCTTGAGAGGAATGGACGAGGCCTCAGTGCGGAGCTGCAATGGCGTCCGCGTGACGGAGCGAATCCTGCAGCTCGTGCCCAATCAGGAGCGATTCAGGACGACGCTGATCGCTGTCAAGCATTGGGCTCGGGTATGTTATACCTGCAGATTGGTTGCTACGATACATCGTGCCTCACTCTTTTGCTTGTGTAGATTCGAGGCATCTACTCGAACGTATTGGGCTTCCTCGGTGGCGTCAACTGGGCCATCTTAGTGGCGCGTATCTGCCAGTTCTATCCAAATTCGCTACCAGCGTCGCTACTCTCGCGTTTCTTCAGGATATACCAGATGTGGACGTGGCCGAATCCAATCATGCTCGACCGAGTGGACAACCCGCTCAATCTGGGCTTCTCGGTGATGCAAAAACTTTCGCTCATATCGCCTTCTGTGTCCGCAGTACGATGTGTGTGGTCTCCTCTTCAGAACTGACGTGGCTATGCGCTGGTCTCGACAGGGATGGAACCCCAAGATCAACGTCCGCGACCGATCGCACTTGATGCCCATCATCACACCGGCATATCCAGCGTTGAACTCGTCGTACAATGTGATGGCTTCAACTCTTTGCGTTCTCAAGACTGAGTTTGACAGGGGGCTCGACCGAACTTTGGAGATTGAGACCAAGGTAAAATGAACTAAGCGTGGCATTCTGAATTCTGACTAATGATATCGATAATTGTGTGCAGAAATTTTCATGGGCGAAGCTGTTCGTGGCTCCAGCGTTCTTCCAAAGGTTTCGTCATCCCACGGGAACTGTGCCGGTGTCCCTAGGCCTGTAATCTTCTCTTTTGTGACTTTGGTGTTTTGATTTGTATCGCTTAGGTCAAAACACTTTCTTCGTGTCGAGATAACAGCGAGAAGTGCTCAAGATTTCGACGGATGGTTCGGCTGGGTCGAGTCCAGACTGCGCCATTTATTCCTTCGGTACGTGGCAGTTGATCTTCTTCTTTATGGGTTAAACCACTGCATCGAACTGTTGATTCCTGGCAGCGCATCGTGACTCGGATCCTGTGAACGCTCGCTATCTCTATAGCGGCCTGATCTCTGTTTTTCTCTTCTGACTTTGCTGCTGCAATTATCAGACTGGAAGCGCTCTCGGACATCCGCATCCACCCGTTCGCTCGCTTCTTTGACTTCATTGACACCAAAGACACAAGGCCAGAGAGCTCGTCCAAGTGCGAGGTTCATACCTCGTGGCTGTTCATCGGACTGAAGTTCCCTGCCCCCAAAGCAGCTCCAGTCACAGGCGCCACTCATAGTGTGGACCTTACGAGCGTGATCCGAGACTTTGCCACCTACACGGACCAGTGGGAAGGTCGTCACGGAGGGATGGACATGCAGATTGATCATGTTACCCGCTCGCAGATCCCCGAGTGGGTACTGGAGTCTGTGGCCAGTGGAGCAGACGATAGCAAACACGTGAGGAAGCAGTCACCAACCGAGAAGCCAACCAAGAAGAAGAAACGCGACGATGAAGACAGCAACGACTGCAATGGCGTGGAGAAGAGTGTCTACACAAAATTCGATAAAGAAGAGCAAAGGTACGTCACGCTGACAAAAGCTGTAGCAACTCCTGCGAGTAGGAAAAATGGCCGTGTGAACGAACTTCAGGTGTCTGGAGTTCCCGTAGCGCCTGGCAGACAGCAAAGTTCATTTTTTCATTTCCAAATTGTCAAGTTCTCGCCTTCATTAAAATCCGATAATTGCCTCGAATTAAAAGGGCGGAGGTCACTTCCACACGCTACAGTACAGTACTTACTCGTCCTTAAACTCAGCCTTACGCTTCCCCACAAAGGCGGCCATGCCTTCCTTCTGGTCCTTGGTGGCGAAGGAGCTCCAGAAGAGGCGGCTCTCAAATTTGATTCCCTCCTGCAGCGTCTGCTCGTAGGACGCATTGACGGCCTCCTTGGCCATCTTGACCACAGGCTGCGAGAACGATGCGATCTTGTTGGCCGTCTTGAGAGCCTCGTCCAGCAGCTGGTCAGCCGGCACAACACGAGCCACAAGTCCGTCCCTCTCGGCCTGCTGAGCGTCGATCATGTTGCCTGTCAGGATCATCTCCATGGCCTTGGACTTGCCCACAGCTCGGATGAGACGCTGAGTGCCGCCACAGCCAGGGATGGTGCCGAGCGTGATCTCTGGCTGGCCGAACTTAGCCGAGTCGCCGGCGATGATGAGGTCGCAGAGCATGGCCAACTCACAGCCGCCGCCCAGAGCGTAGCCGTTCACAGCAGCGATCACAGGCTTGGAGACTTTGGTGATGTCCCCCCAGTTGGCGAACATGTTGCTCTTATAAGCGTCCACGAAGCTCTTGGTGGCCATCTCCTTGATGTCCGCGCCGGCCGCGAACGCCTTGTCGCTGCCTGTGATGACGATGGCGCCGATGTTCTTGTCGGCGTCGAAGGCGTGGGCCGCTCCGTTCAGCTCCTCGATCAGCGGACTGCATAGTGCGTTCAGAGCCTTGGGGCGGTTCAGAGTGATGATCGCCACTTTGCCTCGCACTTCGGTCAGGATGTTCTCGTACTCGGCTGTGGCCATTTGTAAAGGGAGTTAGCAGCTTGCAGACTGATGATTTGTATGTGGTGGACTGATGTACCTTTGGACGCGAAGCTGCGAGCGAGAGGGCGGCGCGCGGCCGAAGAGGTCTGACGAAGAGCAAACATGCTTCTTGAAGGGAAATCTGGTTCTGACGTGGGGAGGATACAGCGATACATGTACTTTCTTTGACTGAAAAGCTAAATTGAAGTTTGTAGCGAATTAGACAGGGGGATCGGCGCTACGGGGACTGTAATTGGACGACGATAACTGCATCCAATCCGCCGACGGTGAAGCATAGTTGAAGTTTCCAACGAGCCTCGTTACGACTCATTTATACGAACTCGAGCTCGTGTACCACACGGTCCCAATCTTTCCAAATTGGTGTTGGAGTCCAATGGATGTTTGTCAAAGACGCCCAAGGAACGTAACGTAACTCGTACAGTGACCAAGCGTCGCCAGCTGTGCCTATACTCGTAGTGACCAAGCGCTCAGCAGCGCTGCGCTGAGGTCGTCGCCAGGGAGCATTCTGGTTTCTTCGAGCTTGATTCCGAGTACATGTAGGACACCATAAGCTATGCAGGTGTTGAACCTACTGATTGTGACTCACAATTTGTGAGACAAATACTGCCGATATTTAGTTCGATGCTACAGCTACAGGGAACACATAGCTTACAGTCACGACCTGGAGGGGTAAGTGCTGTCTCTTGGGCTTCTCTTTCAGGCCTCTTTCCTTGGAGGCTTTCATGCAAGTTGAAGTTTCCTTACAAAAATCAAATCACCTTTTTAGGTGAGGTTCGCATGTGGTCCACACGCCCCATTTCCAATCATGAGCGTCAATGGCTCCAACGTGCACGAAGCCTTCGCGCTCATGGCGACGCTGCTGGCGCCGCGCGTGCCTATACAATTTCTGGAGTTGAGTGGAAAGATTCTACAGCGGCGCCAGATGGAGGAAGTTTTCGAGGAACGTGCTGCTGCCAAGCGCTGCGCCTTCCCAGCCTGCGAGAACCCACTACCAAAGTCCGTAATTGCATTCTTCTCCTTTTTTCAACCAATCTGACGGCCTTATACATAAAACGGAGCAGGTCTTTGGGCAAATTCCGAGTCTCCTTGGCTCGTAAAGAGATCTACGACGCTCAATATGAGCGGCAGTTCTGCTCCGAGCTCTGTCTTAAGGTCTCACCACTGCAATTTAGAATCGTCAACACTTTGCTTGAGTGGAGCTTCGTATTAACAGCATTGCATGTATTGCCCTGCAGAAAGCTCGAGTTCTGCTCTCCAGACTGGCTCACAAGCCTCCACAGCTCGTCCCTTCTCTAGTGGAAGTTTTCGGTACAGAGAAGCCGAATCCTTTGGACTACGCAGACGAAATGACGCCAGTGAAGCAGGTTGAGAACCCCACAGTACTTAAACCCGCGTCGCTACCGAAAGCCAAGACAGTGTGGGCCAAGACACAGGACCTAGGGGTTGTAGAGAGGAAGCACTCAGCGTCTGTGGGTGTCCCACCAGCACTGGAAGCTTCGATCTCCAAAGTGAAGGAGAATGCGTCCCCTGCAGCCCCAAATAGGAGTTTTCCGACAGCTGAACATGCCAGTCTTATCGAGGGCTACGTGTTCCCAGCACACAAGCAGAAATTGGCAAAGAAAGTGGAAGAAATGGTCAAGAAAAGCCAAGAAGAAGAAGAAGAAGAAGAGAATGATGAAGACATTGTAGTGAGCGACAGTGACGAGAGCGACGCAGCTGCCAGTGACGTGTCGTCTGCAGGCAGCTTCGAGATTTCGGATTTTGACGACGAAGAAGTGGTGACGCTGAATGATCTGCCACTGTTTAGCCACCTCTGGGGTCTGTTCTCCAACTGGATTACTCACGACACGACTCTGATGGTGGCTGGATGCCCCATACCTGTGAAAGCGGAGAAGAAGGATGACTCAGACCCTTTAATCGGAGGACCAGAGAAGGCTGAGGCAGATGCTGCTCGACGTCGTGCGCGTCAGATCCGAACTGAGCGATGGAATTCTCTCTCACTCATGCTACGCCGCCCGTTGCCACAAGTTGCACTCAAGTTGAAACTCGCTTGCGATCGCTTCGCAAACCACCGCATCGATACGATCACAGAAACTTTCGCGCTACGTGACGCCATCGACACGCGCAACGCGCACCAGGTACGAGCGAAACCAGCAGAGCACAATGAATTTGTTCGAGAGACTAACTGCGGCTGTGTGACAGTGGACATGCGTGGCGACGATTTTGCTGCTCGTAGCTTACGATATCAAGCCGAATGATCTGCTAGAAGGCGAACGCAGGTACGTACACTACTGTAAAATTGTAAGCATGTATTCGGAGGGGACTGAAAGCGCTGTGCTTTGTTCCGTAGCGACCAAGCTAAAGCGTTGACTAAGCTGGACACGTTGGAGCTCCAGCAATTGCTCCAGTTATTCTACGAGGTGCGCAAGGACAGCGATGTTGCTGTCGACACGGATGTCGCTCCGATACCTGAGACCGAGTCGACTGTCAAGGACGCATCGAAAGAAGAAACACCCGACGACAAGCTGACGTTTTGTCGTAAATGCCGCCGTGCTAAGACCAAGTGCGTTTGCAAGACGCGTGCCAAGGCTTCAAAGGAGAACGAAATGTCGCCTACCCAGTTGGAAGAAATGCTACAGGAGGCGCTTGTTCTGCGCGAAGAGTACGACGAGTTGCTGCAGCCGGACGATTAAATGGGATCCTGTTGCAGGGTTTATAGAGCTCAACCCAAAGTTTTGGCTCATGGCATTTCGCTCCGAGTTTCAAGTTCTGCTATGAGAATTCAGAGCTTGCGTGCATCTACAGGGTGCATCTTTGCAGGGAGAATGGATCAAATCGCGCTTACTAACGCTTTGGGAATATTTTGTTTACCAGTTAGTTGCTTTTTATCTTCTACAGCGTGAACTGTCGTCGTCGCAGAGACCGAAGTGCGCCTCGAAGACCGTGTCAGTGCGTGACGGCAGTTCAAACATGTGGGAGTAATGACTGCAAGACGCGTCCAGGCTCTCGGTGGCCGACGTCATGTTGTTGGGAGTAGAACAGCGAGCACCTGTGACGAAACCTGTGCTGCCGTCTGCAGACACAGCGCTGGACCAACCCGTCTCGGTGATGGCGAATTTGTCTGTCAGACGAAGCGCGACCGGTGTCGCTGTTTCGCAGCTGCACATCCACTGGTTGGATGTGCCACGAGAGTGACGGCGTCGGTTGCAGCAGTGCCGACTGTGAAGATAGACGGGATGTTGACACCCACGACGTCGCAGGCTGTGAAGAGATCGGCTACGCCCGAGATGGAGTTGAGACGAGATGAGTCGACAGCTCCGATGGGCACATTGGGTAGAGTCTCCTGTAGTTAGGTGATATAGGTGAGCATCCTGCATCGACGGAAACCAAGTTGTTGTTGCCGACGAAGATCTGGATGACGCAGGCTGATCCGTTGGCGGCTGAGATGGCGGCTGTGACGTAGTCGGTGGTGGCATTGGGGCTGTCGTTGTTGAAAGGTACAGCGAGTGACACGTTGAGACCCTGTTGAAGTTTTTTTCATTGAAAAGTCTGGAAGTCTGGAAGTCGGTGGAGATGGTGGCTGCAGTGACGGATTTGACGTGCTCGGGGTCGTAGCAGACGCCTGAGCAGCAGCAACGTGGCTAGCTGTGGAGATGATTGCGAGAGTGGAGGCAGCGACGAATGAAAAATATTAATGGTTGACGGGCGATAGTGTGGCGAGTGTTGAAGTGAAAAGTGCGACGGCGTCTGCTTTTATACATGTACACTTGAGGAAACAAGTTTTGGGATTATCAATGCACATACCGGTACGTACAAATGGTCTGGTGTGGTATCGATCTGTTCGTCCAAAATGAGATGTACCGTATATCCCTCAAAGATTGGCTTGAGGGCTTCACCATCGCCGACTGGCAAGTGTAATGTGGCTGACGGTTGTCAACTCCGTGACCGACGTGGCACTCCGGAATTCGGAATGCTATCTTGATTTTTCGAATACAAAAGTAAAGTCTGATGTGAAATAGGCTTCAAGAGTTAATAAGTACATGTATCGGTCTAGGTCGAACACGCTGAAGAGCAGCGCGCTGCATCGACTCTACTAACTGTCGATGTTGCATCTGGTAATCCCCAAAGCGGCTACGTTTATTCCTCGTCGTCACTCGTCTCTTCCTCCTCCTCGTCCATGTTTGCATCTCCATCCTCGTCTTCATCCGATGTAAGACCATCATTCTCCGGCAATTGGCCCATAACGAGGTCGTATTCAGTCGTCTCGCCAGCAGCATGGGACACAGGAGCCGCCTTAAACGTAAGCACGCGCTTGTGGCCCGTCGGGTTCGAACTGAACAACAGCGTCTCGGCGTCAGCCAGCTGATAAAAGCAACAACAAAAGAAACGTTAGTTTAAAGACATCCAACGATAAATAGCCATCCAACGCACCTTCGACAGCTCCAGCTTCTTGTACCAAGCGGGCAGCTCAAATCTGGACTTGGACTTGGCAGGCGGCAGACACGACGGACTGTACACGCCCTTGCCTAGGTTCTGCAGAAACGTCCGAGCCACCATGAGGACGTCCGGGTCGCCACCTTTACGGAGCATGTTACGCTTGATCGCCAGCTTGGCCAGGAACTCTTCGTGATTCCGGAACACCGGGATCTGCAACGTCTGCATGAGGTTCATGGCGTCTCCACGTTCAATTACACTCTTTACGACAGGGACAGGGTCTTCCACGAAGACTCCGGCGATACCGTGACGCATAATGGCCGACGATTCGTCACTGTAGTCCGGGTCCAGAGCAGGACAGTCCACGAGCAAAATCTTCTCTCCGTAGTGCACTTCTTGTGCTGTCTTGGTGGACTGCGGGATGCTGGACACGTTGACCATTTGACGGCGCTTAATCGAATTAATGAGCGTACTCTTGCCCACATTGGGGTATCCGACGACAGCGACGCTAATGGGTTCGTCTGTCTTGTCGGCCAGGCCATCCAGGAACACACGAAGTGGCTGCACTTCGCCGTTGTCGCGCATCCCGCTGATCTCCTGCTGACGGTCGTACAAAGCCTTGTGGCCCTTCTCCTGCCTGGTCTTCTTGGAGCTTTCCGAGATCTTGGCGTTCAGCGCACGCACGGGGATCGTCGGGTGGAAGCGACGCAGATACGTGACCCACTTCTGGGCCGTCTCGGCCGACACCAGGTCGATTTTGTTAAGAACAAGCACGATTTTCTTCTGGCCCTTGGCCACGAGACCGTCCTCGAGAGACAGCGAGCGAGAACCTTGAGGGTCACGTGCGTCCAGCACTACAAGCACCACATCGGCCGCCTGCACAGCGTGTTTAAGATCCTTCTTGGCCTGCATTTCGACACTTAGAGGAGTCACGTGGGCCACGTCATTGGCCAAATTTCGCTGAAGCTTGGCCAACTGTTTGGCCTTCTTCTTGTCCTCTTTGCGCTGCTGTTGGGCCTGACGCTGGGCGTCAATTTCGGCCAGACGTGCCTGCTCCACCTGCAGTAGCAGCTCCTCTTTGAACGGCCAGTTGTTGGGGATACCGGGGTCTTTCTTCTTCTTGTGCTGGTTCAGCTTCTCGGTCTTTCGCTCTTGCCGCTTGTGCTCACGCACCTTACGGGCGATCTTGTACTTCTTGTGCAGCGATAAACGCTTCGACTTCCCTTTCTTCTTGACCATGGTCGCTCGACTTTGACTACTGTCGCTTTGAGCTTTGACACCCGTTGGCGTCGGCTCCAATCGTTTGATTATCAGATTGTGATTGGTAGAAAAAGAGACAATGATGTCCACTTACATACACCAAGGTAACGTCCGCCATAGTGACGCTAGGGTGGGTGGTCATAAGTGCAGACTTTTACTTGACCGCCGAATATGCGGCTCCTTACGCACAACATGCTCGTATGCCACGTCAAGGTGCGCGGCCAGAGGCGACTATGAGTGTGAACAGCCCAATTTATTGCAAAGTTTCTAACTAAGGTGCTTTTTTTTCAGGCGTGTGCCGACACGGCCGGACGCGAAGCGGGTGCCCGTCCGCTCAACTTCCCGCTGCGGGTACGGCACGATGGCGTTTGCAGGGCTATTGAGCCAGGCTGACATTGAGCTTTTATTACTGCTGCTGTTGCTGTAGATCGCACCGGAGATGGACGGTGTGGTGGTGCTTGAGACGCAGTACAGCAAGAGCTTCATGCTGCACATCATGAAGTCCATCGACTACCCGGCGCTGTGCCACACGACCAAGGAGGTACATGCCAATAGCATTGTTGCAGATATGACGGCGTATTCTAGCATCTAACTGTTTTTATCCATAACTATAGCTGAATCACCCTGAGGTTCCGATCCTGCCTGAGCAGATCCCCACTGACTTGGCGGAGCAGGACGAGCTGCTGAAGCTAATCCACCGCGTGATTTTCGACGTACGTATCGGCGCGTGGGGCTGCGTTGCGAGGTTGGAAAGTTGTTTGTCTGACAAGTGCCGTCTTCGAAATTGTGTTTTGCAGACGAACATCGTGGAGGGAGAGCTGATTTGCAATAACTGCGGACGTAGCTACGCAATCACCAACGCCGTGCCTAACATGCTGCTGGAAGAGGACGAACTTTAACTTCTCAAACGACATTGTATGGTTTAATGTATTTGATGAACCCCACGGTCAATTTGGTGAGTTTTGCCACATCTCAGTGTGTACATATGTGAACCTTGCTTGAGGGCCATGTCGATCGATCGATCGCATATCAAACCCGGTGGCTTATACTTCGAAGACGTCGCGGATTCCGCGATAGCCCAAAGGCGCGCCATTTGGCGACATTTTACGCCTGAGTTTACCGGTCAGCTGTCTTTCGAGACCTTCGCAAATTGCATCATGACCTGACCCGCTGGGACGATTCGATCGACAACGCACGTGGCATCCTGGGCTTATATTCTCTCTGCGATGGTCACCGAGTAGACAACCATCTTCCACATAATTGCCAGCCCAGCCGGCGACGGTGTTCTTCAGGAGACTCCACAACGTGCATCCTCATTGAAAAGACCTCAAGCCCGTCAACTACAATTGTCGCTGTCTCCACTCGCAATCATCTCCACAGCTATTAGCCGCGTTGTCACTACGGCAACCGGAGGCGTCTGCTACGATCCCGAGCACGTCGAGTCCGTCACTATAGCCATCCATCTCCACCGACTTCCAGACTTTCAACGAAAACGGCTTCGACCTCGTCCATCACCACGTACGACTCTGCGTCTTCACAGCCGGCACTGCTACAACCGACGCCATCACACTCGTGTCCATCCAGTTGACTTGACAAACGCCTGATAGATACTCTAAAGCGCTTTCATGAATTCTCGAATGTACTGTACTACTTACTGGTAGTAAGTTACTGTACATGTAGCCCTGCATAACAGCGACACCGGTCGTGCTCCCCTGGTCTGACCGACAAACTGGCCATCTACCGAGACGGGCAGACGCGCAACACAGGCTTCGTCATAGGTGCTCAGCAGATCTACTCTGTTAAAACGCGCAGTCATCCACATGTTCGACCTGTCGTCACGCACCGACACGGTCTTCGAGGCGCATTTCGGTCCCAGGGCACCGAGAAGTTCACGCTGTTGAAGATGATAGAGCTACGTCTTCCTAAATTGCCAGAGGTGTCATTAAATGATCCTTGCCAGGGAAGCTGCATCCTTAGTGTTGTTGTTCCTCTCGCTGCTTCTGCTGCTCTTCGTTATGAGAGGCCAGCGTGTCGAGCTGTTTACGATAGAAGGCCTTGAGTTCACTGACCTCAGCCTGTAGCTCTTCCACTTGCTCTTCCTTTTCGCCAAACAGCTCAAGTAGCACCACTTGGTGTTTCTGCAATTTCGCCAGCTCTAACTGCGTCTGCTCTCTCTGTGCCTCGCCACTCTCCAGTAACGCGTTACGCGTACTCAATCGAACGATCTCGTCTGTCGTTTGTTTCTGTCGAGCCTCCAACGCTTCCAATTGCTGCTTCAGCATCCGGTTCTCGCCTTCACGTAGGCGTAATCGCTGCTGCAGTTGACTCAGTCCCAAGACCGACGTGTTGCCATTTGAACTGAGCGGGTCATCCATTGTCGTCTCCAACGTCGTCTTGAGGATCGACGCCTCGGAAGATAATGCTCCTTCAGCTCCATTATACTGTTCACCATCCACACTTGGTCGAACGTAATGCTGCGAGGACGTGGAGCCCGTTGACAACGGCGCTGGGGCCGGTAGAGACGTTGAGCTCTTTAGTCGCTGTACTTCTTGTTGATGCCATTCCAAGTCTTGTCGTAGCTGAGCTTCACGCTCACGAGCCTGTTTCAGTTCAACTGTTGCTGTAGCCGAAGCCTCCTGCTGCTTGGACGACCTCTCGGCGTTATCCAGTCGAGTCTGGAGTTGTTGTTTGGCTTCTGTCTCTGCG